CAGAGGGAGAGGAAGAGGGAGAGGAAGAAGGAGAGAGAATCCCCAGCAAGTTCCACACTCAACACGGAGTCTGACATGGGACTTGATTCCACAACCCTGGGATCATGACCTGAGCCGAAACCAAGAGTCAGAAACTCAACTGAGTCACCCAGGCGCCCCTGAAGTCTCCTCTTTCACAAGAAGAAACTACACAGAGGTGACCTCTATTGACCAAAAGAAGAAACTGCATTCACGCGCTTCCCTCCTTCCTTCCAGTACAGGGAAATAACCAACACAATCCTGGCCAGCTTCTAGGCACTTCACATATGTTATTATGCCATTTGTCCTTGGATTTGAAATATTTACATCTACAAGGTGGGCACCATCACTCCTACTTTAGAGTGGAGAAAAGCAGGGTTGAGACAAGTGAACTGATTCTCTGGGTTTCCACAGTGTTAAGAAGCATTGCCGAGATCCACCTCAGGTCTATCTGAGGCTTCTAGAAGGCTTTGCTCCGTCCACCAGTCTCCTGCTACTCAAAGTGCGGTCCAAGCTCCAGAGCATGGGCAACACTGGGAGCATTAACAATACAGACTTCAGGCTCCCTAGATCTACTGAATCAGAACTTGTATACTAAGGAGATAAAAGTTTTGCATGTACATTAGGGGCACCTGGGTGGCTCAGCTGGTTAAGCATCTAACTCTGGATTTCAGCTTAGGTCATGATCTCACAGTCATGAGGTGGAGAACCCTGCTGGGGCTCAGCATGGAGCTTGCTTGGGATTCTCTCTCTCCCTCTCTCTGCCTCTCTCCTACTCATGATCTTTCTCTCTCTCTCAAAAATAAATAAACTTAAAAAAATTTTGTATGTTGTATTAAAGCTTGAAGAGTACCCTGACTCCCAAGAAGCGGTAGGGAAATCCCAGTTTTTTGAGGAGACACTGAGTTCTCATATTTATTCTGTGAATGTCGATTTCTGGCTACAAAGCACTTCTGTCATTTTTCCTGTGCTGTCTTTACATTGGTTCCCCTTTTCCCTGGGAGGTAAATAAGGTCAGTGATTATCACTCCAATTTCAGAGCCGGGGAAAACAGAAGCCCAGAGGGGAGACGCAGTTTGCCTAGAGCCACTAGTCAGCAGGCATCCCAGTACTTGACAGGGATTGGCTGGGAGGATGATCCAAAGGTTCCAAGAACTGGTGTTGGTGCCAGCATGGGGGTATTAGGCTCCTGAGCTTGCCTTCAGGGGTCAGAAAGCACTAGGCTGGCTCTGAGAAAGCCTTCTGCTCACTTATTTATCCACGCATGACAAGAATGCAGTCAGACTTCAATTTTATTACCAATGTGTGTCCCTGAGCAAACTATGTGATACTCTTTCTTAGCCTCCCTCCAGAGCCGTTGCAAGGATCGAGAGAGGATGATGCAGGAGAAGTGGGGGCACAAAGGAAGAATTCAACAAATGTTCGTTGCTATTCATTCATTTGCTCCACAACTATAGGACACTTGCTTACAATGGGCCAGGCTCCAGACTAAGACACCAGATGGATAAGGAGTGTTAAAAACAATACCACAGGCCCAAGGTGGAGTCATTTGCCTCCAGGACAGCAAAATGAGACTTAATTGCAGTTTCAACCTCCCCAGAAATGTCTTAACTGATCAGTAAGGAATTTTCTGATCAGCACCAAGGGGGCAATCTGTCACCTAGGCCCTCTCCATCCCCCAAAGGAAGATGAGCTAATCCACCCAAGACCCCCTGCCCTTCCCTTTAAGTGAGGGTGACTTGGCCTGAAGCAATGCTTTCTTTTCATTGGCTAATAACCACCTTGTCCCACTCCCTTCCTGTAAAAACCTTCCATTTTGCACAACTCCTTGGAGCATCTCTGTACTTGCTAGACAGGATACTGCTTGATTCATGAATTCCTTAATAAAGCCTATTAGATCTTCCAGTTTACTCGGGTGAATTTTGTTTTTTAACAGGAGATATGCCCTTGCTCCCATGGAGCTTACAGTGCAACGGGGGAGATGTGATCAAGTGCCTACAAGTATGGGGGCGACACGACACGGGCAAAATCTTGAATATAATGAACAAATGATGAATCTGGTGTTTGGCCTTTAGCATAGATGTAACCTTTGTTCAGAGAAAGTGAAACCAAACCTCAAGTTCTCGTCCCCTAGTCCTCCTGTGAAGCGCGGCCCAAAGCTGTCTCACTCCTCCAGCCCTCAAAAGTACTAGGCCACTTCAGAAGTATTTTCTCCCTGGAGAGAGTCCCAACTCGCACCAGGAGGGAGGGAGTGTGGTGGAAGATGAGCTGGTTACACTTTACCCTGTGGGCAAGGGGGGAGCCACTGAAGACCACCCCAGAATGCTCTAGTCTCATCCCTGTTGCTCTCCCACATCCAGGCGATACCCCACAGACAATGTTCTTCCAATACCAAGTACCAAATGCCAGGGCTTTTGCGCATGTAGTTCCCATGGCCTGGAAAGGTTTCCTCACCTCTCTTCATTTAGTTCATTCCTACTCATCATTCAGGGGCCAGCTTAAATGTCACTTCCTCCAGGAAGCCTTCCCTGACTCCCCAGACAAGCTTCAGGCCCCCCAATAGAACATTCTGTATGTTCTCCTTTTGGCACATATCACAATCTGCAAATAGATACTTGTGTGACCACTTGGTCTGAGGGCGGAGCCGCTGTCTGTTTTGCTGAGTCTACCTTCTTGCCAGCACTGAGCAGTCAGTACCTGGTTCTGCTACCAGGACAACCAGGGTCTGCTCAACACATGCCTCTGAAAGGATGAGGGCGGATGCTCAGGAGTTGGAAGCTCACCCCAAAATGTGACGCTGGCAAGAGACACCCAGCACAGAGGCCAGTCTGAGGCCACATGGTGCGGGGAAGACACAAGCAGGACTTAAACCAAGGACAGGAGCCCAGGGTAAATCCCCAGGTTGGCAGGCAGGGCCTGATGGGATGTGGAAGAGAGGGGAGGCACCAAGAACCACTCGCATGTTCCCGTCTTGGTCAGGGGAACACGGCAGGACTCATCCCTGACAGGGGTCAAAGACGATGAAGCCAGAAGTGCCTGCCCCACCCCCTCCCCACCAGCCTACCTTCTTCCTGTCAGTGGTCTGGACTGTGTCCCCAGCACTGGACATAGGCCACACAGCTCAGCAGCACAGTCTCTTTTTATTAGCCATCCTCTCTGGTATGAATGTGCACAAGTAGAAAAGAAACAGTAAAATACCCTGGCTGGGAGGGCAGGGCAGGGGGCTCCTGAGCTTAGGCCACGTGGCCAGATTCCAGCTCCTTTTTCTGATGGGTCTGTTTCTGTGCGAGGACTCCCCTTACACCCCCATCCCTTGACTGAGCATGGATGCACACTGAAAGGACCTGGTGCTGTGCAGGGGGCGGAGAGAAAACAGCACAGGGGGTCTGGCTCCAGGGGCTGAGGGGCTGAGGGATGTGAAGAAAGGTGAGTCATCCAGTCCGGGACCTGAGCAGAAGCCCATCTGGCCGCGGCCAGTCTCTGCTTCTGTGGTCTCACTGCCCTGAGTGGAGGGCTGTGGGGTGGGGGTCCCTCTCACCCCTGGTACAGAGGTTTGGGGCAGGCAAGGCCAAGGAAATTCTAGGAGTTCCAGGTGGAGGAGGCCTGATTCAATGCCTGGCATTGGTCAAAGTGAACAGCCAAGGAGGGAAAACTGGGAATTGAGAATGGGAGAAGAGTGTCCCTCCTCACCCACCTGGGGTACAACCCACGTGTGACCTCGGTGTCGGGTCATTGAGGCCAGGTCTGGTGGGCTTGTGGAGCTGAGGAAGCTGACACGAGAGGGTTGGGCACACCTCCTGCCCCAGTGTTACATGAGCAGGAGAGACTGAGCTAGAAAACTGGGGGAGGGGCTGAAGAAATGCTGGGGGGAGGGAGCAGACAAGATCTGGACCAGAAGGGAAACTTCCAGACCGGCGTGACTACACTCAAGTGCTGCCCAGTCAGTGACAACTCGGCTGCTCTTCTTCTCTGTGGGCTATCCTGCTGGGGTTGCCAGGGGAGAGGGGAGCAGAGGGCAGGCAGAGAGAAGCAGTCACTGAAAGAGAAGGTAACAGAGAGGCTCACCTGGACCCTGACCAACCCAACCTGCGTGGGTTTGAAAGATTCCCAGCCTTCTCTCTTACCCACCCTGTGCCACAGAAACGAGGGGCCCATCTGGAATCTGAGTGAGATAAACAGACTTCCTGCCAAGGGGAAAGCTAACTGAGGAGTACTCACAGCACCGTGGTGGCACGGGACGGCCCCTGTCCTTTGGGTCAGAGCCGGGCTGGCACCGTTTGTAAACATTAGACTTGATGATGTCTGGAGATGGAGGAGGAGAGGGATGCCTGGACCCTCAGCTTTGGGGAAAGAGGGTGAGGCCTCAAAGTCTTGGGAGATGTCAATTAGCCACAGAAAAGAGGTCTACAGGTTCACTTTGGACCCAGGCTGGGGGTGGACAAGGCATGACTATCTACCTCTGTGCGTCTGTATGACTTTTGTGCTACCTTTGGAAATTGCCAGATCCCAGAGAAGTCACGGCTGGCCAAGCGGCTGCCCAACTGGAGCAGGCACTGAGTCCCGGGATAATGAGCACAGGTCCTGCTCAGGACAGGGTGCTCTGTTGAGTGGCCCTTTGCCCATACTTTCTCCAAAGGAAAGTCAGGCTGCGGTCTTTTTTCTGAGATGTTTTGATCCTCCTCACCCATGCTTTTCAGGGGTGGAGAAGTCGAGAGTTGAAGGACAGAGAAGGTTCTTCTGTGATACAAGACCTCCTCCCTCCATCGTGGAACTGCCGGGACTGGAGAGCAGGGGGAGCTGGGTCTGAGCCATCCAGAGGTGTGAGGCCTGATTTTACTCCAGAACCGTTCTTGGAAAAGGATGTCCAGATGTCATCCTACCAGCAGTTGGGAATGATGCTGGACTCAAGGTGACCCCACAACTCTAAGAGATGGGCTCCTGGGTCCAGTGGCAAAGGCCATGTGTTGCCTGGGAGGCAGTGGTTATGCCAAGAGATCCACAAAGATGGCGTTGGCTGTGGTCTGGCCGAAGATGAAGGCTCCCAGGGTGACCAAGAGGACACCATAACTGACCAGCGCCCACCAGCTGTAAGGCAGGAGAGAGAGGCCTAGTCAGTCAACCTACCCTTGGCTTTGCAGACTTGTGTGTGTGTGTGTGTGTGTGTGTGTCAGTTAATTATTGTAACTACTTATAGCATTTCTCTAGTGAGTAGAGCACTTCCTACTTCTAAATGACTTTTCATACAAAGGTATGCGGGGCCAAGTGTAAGATCCAGTCCATGGGTCAGAAGACCAAGACCTATTGGAGCTCATTGACAGGTCACAGCAAGCCAAGGGCAGAGCCAGGATTAGAATGCATGCCTCCTGATGGAAACATGTTCAGGAAAAAGCAGGTCACATGGAGTGTGATCCATTCCATTTACAAAAAAAAAAGCACAGACATCTGCAAATATATATATCAAATATAGTAAGAAGGCAGTAAGAGGATACAACAGGGTATTGACATTAAGGATGACTCAAAATTTCTTCCTTACACTTGTACTTTTAAAGTTTTCTATAATGAATATTACTTCATTATAGAATGAAGTATATAGAATATGTAAATATAATTCTTTTAAAAAAGCTTACAAGCTGTTTTCAACCTCTGTACTATTCAAGGAAATGTGGATATTAAAACAATATTGTGTTTTTCATCTACTAGACTAACACAAATTTAAAAGGCTGTTCTGGGACGCCTGGTGGCTCAGTTGGTCAAGCGTCAAGTCATGATCTCATGGTTCACGGGTTCAAGCCCTGTGTAGGGCTCTGTGTTAACAGCTCAGAGCCTGGAGCCTGCTCAGATTCTGTGTCTCCCTCT